TTGCGTCATGCTCGAATCAGAATTAAATTGACACAATCGTCGACAAACTTGTTCGAACGACCCCAGATGAAGTGACGGAGCATACAAGTGAGTTCGAAATGTCGGTTCTAAAGGACACTTATGTTGCTATGATTTTGTGCACGAGCAAATAACACGCATATCAATATTTTTAAATAATAAATATTATTAAATAATATTAAAAATAAGAAATCCTTTATAAAACTCACGTCTTACCCCCAAAAATCCCTCACCTCATTCGTTGGAGAAAATTTGCATACGCAAGACGTACGCAGCGTTACGTACGTCAGGGAGGTTATTCAGAGGGTATTGAAGGGTTATATCTGTGTTATACTCCCTGTAACCTACCTGTACCTTCTAGTAAGTTTCACGCTTCTGTTTTCATATATTTTTAAGTTCCAAGTATATTACATGAATGTTACAGGGAATATGTTGCAGATATAACCCCCGATACCCTCTCAATAACCTCTCAATAATCTCTAACATCTAAGGCTCTAACATATATTTGGGACAGCTACAGCTTCTCAGCTTTTTAGCTGCAGCTATGCTGCCCCAGAAAACTGCTGCGGGGAAACTGGCTGCTTGTTTGCTGCAGCTATCTGAAAACAGTCGTGAAACAACTGTTTCTGAAAAAAATGACTATTCTGCCCCTGTTTAAAAATATATAATTCACTTAAAAGAAAATACCGAAAGTACTAAAAAACTAATAAAATTACAGATAAAATAAAAAATTAATAATGTATAGTTTTATGTAATTTCATTTTAATTATAATAATATTCAAAATAAAAAAAAAAGTATATAATTTTATGTAAATTGCTTAAACTTCATATTTTAAGATATAATATTTTTTAAAAAATAATATTTCGTTTACTTTAATTTATTTTTTAGTAAATTAAATGATTAATTATTTCTCTCATATTTCTATATCATATTACAAAATATATACATAACTATTAATTAAATAACATTAACATTACATTCTAAGTAAAATGACTTAAATAAAAATGCATCAACCTTACCGGGCTAGGTTCACATATGCACATACGACACTCTCTTTCTCGAGAAAAAAATATTACATCAATACTACGCACGTAGAGTAACATGCGTAGCCAATAAAATAACGCTACGTAAAATAACGCTACGACACCCTACGTGGCAGAGAAAAAAAAACGGCGCAGTAACACGGGAAATATCTCCCCCGTGTTATTCATGTGTTATTGTGTATTATTCATGTGTTATTATGTCCTAGGAATATTCCTGGTGTTATAATAACAAAATAACACATTAATAACACATAAATACCACACAATAACACATGAATAACACGGGGAAGAATATTCCTAAATATCAAAAGTACTAAAAAAAACTAATAAAATAAAAAGTTAATAATGTATAGTTTTAAGTAATTTTATTTTAATTATAATAATATCGACTATGTTGTTTAAAATAAAAAAAGTATATCATTTTATTTTATGTAAATTGCTTAAACTTCATATTTTAAGTTATAATATTTTTTTTAAAATAATATTTCGTTCACTTTAATTTATTTTTTAGTAAATTAAATAGCTAATTATATCTCTCATATTTTTATATCATATTACAAAATATATACATAACAAATCATTAAATAACATTAACATTACATTCTAAGTAAAATAATTTTATTAAAATTACATCAACCCAGGATAGATATTTGCGTACATCTTATGTACGCAAATATTTCACCAAGATCAGATCCAACCCACTTCTCATTCTCAGCACCGTCACTAGAGCCGCCCCTTACAGGTTTTCCGGCTGCCGGTTCGACAACGAGCCCGCTCATCCCCATCTAGCTGGAGTGTCGAGCTTCGATCTGAAGGATATCGGTGATCTGCGGAGAGGGCAGCTCGGTAAAAATGAGAAGGCAAATTTTTCTCTGTAGTTGCCATAGAACCCGTTTCCCCTCTCTCGCTTCCTCGCAATCGCACCGTCGGCGGCCTCTCTTGCCGGACACCGAACCCTCGGCTTCTCTTCCCCTTTCATTTGCAAACCGATCCTCGAGATGCCCCACTATCCCTTCTTCGCCTCAAATCGTGCCGCCGGCCTGCTTGCCGGCCCTCGCCGGCCCTCGCCGGACCTCGCCGGCGAGTTCTCCCTCCTGCTCGCCGGAAACCTCCTCATGCAGCCTCTCTCTCGGCGGAAATTTCGTTGGTCTCTCAGAGATGGCATTGGAGATGAAGGATTTTGGCTCCCGCACGGCTGTTCTTGGTGCTCAGGAATGAAGTCCGGTAAGCAACGGTCGATGCGGTGGTCTTTCTTGCATTATGACCCCTCGGGTTTTCTTTGAAGAAGAGCCTGTAAATCAACCTCTTCTTCTTCTTGGAGTCTGCTCTCTCTCTTGTCAGTAAGAAAGGGAAAATTAAGGTATCTAGTTAGGAAGACGGATCAAATCAGCAGAGATCTCATTAATTCAGATCTACGTGAGCTCTGGATGGTTGCCAAGAACCTTGCTGACCACGCCTTCATGCTCAGAAGCGGCCTCGGATTCGGAACCTACTTTCTCAAGTTCTTTGCCTCTTTCGACGCAATATAATTGTTGATTTTGGACCGTACAAACTGGAAGACAAATATGCTCACAGTTCTTTTAGTTCCTTACATATTCTTGAGTCTTCCCGCTAAGTTCTTTGCCTCTTTCGCCACAATATATTTGTTGATTTTGGACTGTACAAGCTGGAAGACTAATATGCTCACAGTTCTTTTAGTTCCTTATATATTCTTGAGTTATCCCGCAGTACTATTTTCTTTCTTGAGAGTGCCATCTACTGGCGTAAAAGGGGACATCATTTTAGTTGCAGGCTGCATCCAGCTCTTTGGCTTCTGTACCTTTGAGGCTTGTGTTGGGACATTTTGGCCATCTATCATGAAGATGAGGTCTCAATACACTCCGGAGGAAGCTGGAAGCACAATCATGAACTTCTTTCGTATTACTCTCAATATATTCGCTTGTGTTGTTCTTTACAATGTGAATGCATTTCCCATCACTGTCATGTTCGGCATGTGCTGTATTTTCCTTTTCATGGCTGCAATATATGCAGTTTACCATGATCCTAAACGGCTGAAGGCTATTGCGGATAGGGTTCATTGACTTGCCGACGTTTTCGCTCCTGGATTGAATAAGTTCGGCACGTTTGATGTTCAAGAACCTCATTTCTTTGATATTATGAAAATTAAATACACCCATGCTAAAGCCATTTGCAGATGTTGCTTCCAAGAAGGAGATGAATTCGAGGATTGCGGTTTCTAGCACAATAACAGTGTCCTTTGAAGAGACTTCAGTCCTTGATGACATGAATAAGCTGTTTATAGCTTTTGCTGGTGAAAAGCCAGTAAGCTCCACTGTCGAATTTATTGCTCCAGAGGTTCAGACTGCAATCCCGCAGGATCTTGTAAGATACAGTCCATATCTGACACATCCTTTTAAGTTCCTTGCAGATTATGCCTCTTCATGCTTTTCTCTTATTGGAGACAATTCTTTGGTTTTGAAGTTGTTGTACAAAAAAACTTTTTCAATGAAATTTCACAGAAGTCGTCTCTAGACAATACACATGGTATGCTGAATATGATCATCACACTTGATAAAAGTCCCTCCATACTTTCAGGCGAGAGTGTTGTTACTACTTCTTCTATTTCAGAAGAAATTAAGGCTGATGTTCAATCTGATAAATTTAGAATTTTTAAGTGCTATGTCCGGCCTTGCATTATATTGATTCTACAGAATGACAAGCTGCTGTTTCATGTGTTGGAGTTATTTGCCTCAGCACTAATAGAGTAACAATTTTTTCACTGGAGCTTTCATATAAGATTCATGTAGTATCATCCATTCAACTGACAAGGAAGTTCTCACTGATGTTTGCTCGGCTCTCTCTTATCTGTCTGATGGCTATTGAAATTGAAGATAGAGATGAAAAAATTCTGATATGGGTTTCAAGTAGTATCTTCCTCGCCTTTGAATATATTCTTAAAATAAGACCAGAAAGCCGAAAAAAAGGAAATAACGAGAAGCTCAGTTATAAATGCCGCATCCCTTTCCCTCCATAGCAAAATCTACTTGAAGTTCATTCTCTATCTATTGCACGGAGGTTTGTATCTTAACTCTTGCCTTTTATATATTCATACATTTTCTTGTGAATCGTCATAACATACTTGTGATATGGATGCTTGGGAAGTTTTACATACACAACACTTAATTCCTATGTATTTACATTTTTAGCATCTAAACTTTGAATCTTTACATTTATGCCACCTATATTGTTTATACCACAAAAATAATACCACTGCTTAATTTTAGAGGTTTTACGTACATACTACCTGATTCCTATGACTTTACATATCTAACACCTAAATTTTACTTGCTACATTTATATCACCCAAAATTTTCACATCACATCAAAATATTACCATTTTAAATTTTCAAATTAAAAAAAATACTTCTTCATTAACGTGACACATATGTATAAATGAATGTTTGGGTGTTAGACTTGTAATACATAAGAATTGTGTACTATTATGTATGTAAATTTCTATTAGAAGTTTTGTGAATTCTCAATTGTTCTGGGAAAGAAAATTTGAAACTTTTAAAGCCTTCTTCATGCCTTCCTCATTTGTAGGAAACTTATATAGCACACAATTCTTAAGTATTTATACCACTTAAATTATAGTATTTATGTGCAAATATCTCTCATCCTTTTTTCTTTACATTGCTAATATTTTAAATTTGATTTCTATGTATTTCTACCATCCAAACATTAACTTTTCATGTATAGATAAAATAACACATGTAAATAATAATAATAATATACATATGAGGTCTTGGATGACATGCATAAATATATATAAGAATTGTATGATATAAATATTCTGTAATTTTAACGCAAACATTAAAGTCATATTTAAATATTAAACGCAAACATTAAAGTGGTGTGTATGATTTTAAGCAATTTGTTTATTTTCAAAATTGATGAATTTCATTGCACAAGAATATAAACATATTTTAAGATTCATATATATAGTACACTCACATACAAGCCTTTACAATCTTATGTTGAATAACATTCTCAAACCAATTTCTTTGTGCATATTTGTGAGGTAAACCCAATTGTGATCGAGACGTTGGATGTTCGTGAAGCTACCTTGGAGTAGATAAAAAGGACGACATCAAACTTTACATCGGTGAGTTCTTTCCAAAACCACTTAATAAGATAAAAATATAAAAAATATAACATAATAATATTAATAATTCATCTTTTGGATTTATGAGAATTCATTGGATGATGTAACTTATGGTTGTTAACAAGAATTCTCCGATCTAAATGAATCTAGTTTGTTTAGATTAAATAAATCCAAAACTAACAGTAATGCTGAGACGATAAAATCATGAGATCTTAACAGGTGTCGCTTAACATAAAATAAAATACCTTACATTTCTTTTCTTCAACAATAACGAACACAAATTCAAAACACATTGCACAATATCACACTAAATAACAACAAAGAACGTAGAATAGGTCGTTCAAGTCGATGGTTTCTCTCTTCTCTCCTCTTTTTATAGAATGAGGAAACGACGTGATCGAGCAGTGGTCAACTTTCGGGCGACGATCCAAACCACCAGACGAAGCGAAGGACGATAATCAATTGAACTTTCCATAGTCTTAAATAACATACGCCCTCAGGATTTTGAGATTGTTTGTTTGACACGATATAAATCTTCATTTTATCTTTTAGACTTCAGCACGATCGTATATCGTGCAAATATAATGCCCAAACTTTTTTTAGGGTTCCGAGGTTGTCGTTCGGTACGACATAAATCCTCATATCTTCTTAGGCCGTTTTTATGATTGTATGTTATGCAAATATAAATCATGAATCTCTAAATAAATTGTAGGATTAAAATATTAAATAACTTCTCTTTTAAAATTGTAAAGTCAAATCATATGTTAGTTTGAGATGCGACTGAAGCTTCTTCAGTATCTTCGATATTTCCTACTATTCACTCATATGAGTTCCAGAAATAACTATTCCACATTGAGCATTTCCCATTTGATATCCCTACAAGCATTTGTGGGAACTAAATGTTGAATTGTTGAAGACGAAATCCAGATCTTAATCGAGAGTTTTTTAAGGTGACTTTGGTTGTCTGAGATGTAATTAATTGTAGGGGTTTGCCCCTATAGGAGCATTAGTAACCCAGATAATCTAAACTGTATTTAATTTTTATATTATATAGGAGAATTATCGGTTATAAATTTCGCAAACTAACTGAATGCCACAAATTTCTTAGTTTAAATAGTTGTGCCTACTGTCAAGTGATACACTTATCTTTCCAGATGATGTCATTTGTGGTATTGTGTTCAATTATCTAAACTATTAAGTATATGAGATCCGTTTGGTCTCTTCTTTCAAAATCAAAATTATATACATATTAAATATATCTATATATATTTTTAAAGAACAAAAAAAAGACTGACACTTTTAGCGATAAAATGTAGGCCGCATGATTAAGCCCGCAACCGCATTTTAAATTTTTTTTTCAAATAAGCTGTCTCACCGCATGAAGCAAACACTAAATATCATTGTGCCACGCCACTTAAACTGCTCCAAATGCAGCCTGTAGTAAGAGCCAACTGTAGATGATTGAGTTCTGCAGGCTCTTCGGACAATCTTAACACCTGGATTTCAATAAGAGCCAACTGCAGATGATTGAGTTCTGTAGGCTCTTCGGACAATCTTAACACCTGGATTTCAATCTTACATGTATGAAAGCTAAATTTTTAAATAATTAGATAAAAACATTTTCATAACTTTGATCTTAATAATTTTCACTCATATATATACTTCACTTATTTCTTGATCCCTAGGCTAAGGTCACAACTTTGTTTAGTTTTGAATAGAAAGAAGAACAATTCATAGAACATGTAATTAACAGCAAATATTTATTATAATACCAACTTTTTTATAAATTGCCCTCTTAAGCGCCTGAAATATCCCATATAGTGTTGCTGATCTATATGGTTGTTAAGGGTTCATTTAATCCCACAGAACAGGTAATTATCAACAAATAATTATTGTAATACTAGCTTCGAGTTCTTTGAATTATTTTCTATTTTCTTCAAAACTAAGCAAATCTGTGACCTCAATCTAGAGATCAGGAAACAAGTGAAATATAAAAGAATTTATATAATACGTATGCATAACATAACATGAAACTTATATTAAAGAACTTACTTTAAACTTTATCTTTACTTGAATCAGGCTTAGCAACATAATCTCAATTCTGAAAATAATCAACGTTGATTGTATAAAAATAAGTAGGAGATGAAGTAGACATAATTGGCTCAGAGAGTAGATGTAGAAGATAACAAAATTTATACAATTTGAATGTCTTCCCTCAGAACTGATTCTTAGTGTTTTAATGGAGTCTGTATAATGAAAAAATAAAAAATAATAACAAAATATCTTATATTCTCTAAAGATGAGTGAAACTAAAAAGAAAAAAAAGGAAAGAAAAAACATAAAACAATAAATTTATAATGAAGTAGTAGAAAATAATTAAATTTTGGATGGGTGTTGATGAATCCAAGATGAAAAAATAAAGATTCAAACTTTTGTTTTGTCACGTATAATAAATTGTAATGTTATATTTTTAAGGCAAAACAAATGCATCATGACTCACATGAAAATTTTTCTCAAATCATTAAAATTTCAAGCAACATTGGAATAATTATCAATCAATTCAAGACATGAAAAATTATCTTTAGAGGAGACATGTTAGCAGCTTGTTTCCGACCAATATCAAGCAAAGTTTGCCTTCATCATTGTTAGGTAATGGTTGCTATTGTTCGATGTGAACGGATTGCAAATAAAAAGCTTAGTTTTTTGACATGATAAGATTAACAAACATCTATAGTTTGTATTATGTATTTTTCTAAGTGAAGCACACATTATTATGTATTTACATATCTAACACCTGAAGTTTGATATTTAAATTTTTAGCACTTTGATGTTATAATCTATGCATTAAAAGGTGCATTTTAGTTTAGTTAGCACTTTGATGCTATAATCTATGCATTAAAAGGTGCATTTTAGTTTAGATAGGTTAATAATAGTGGTATTTTATTATATGATGGTAATGATTTGAGTGATATGTATGAAAGTTTAGGTGTGAGACATGAAAATACACCAGAATCATGTGCTATGCATGTAAATGTTCCTTTTTTAGCTTTCCAGTTGCATTGTACTCAGGAAATGCTTTCTTATAATTTTGCTTCAGTGCTGGCTTGAAATGAGGTTAGCAAGCATCTATATTTTTTTAAGTGAAGCACACAATTATTATGTATTTATATATCTAAGACATAAAGTTTGATATTTAAATTTATAACACTTTGATGTTATAAATATATGCATAAAAATGTATATTTTAGTTTTAAACATTTAATAATAATGACATTTTCTTATGCGATGGTAAGGATTTAAGTTATGTGATGGTAAGGATTTAAGTAATATGCATGTAAATATGAAAGTTTAGGTGTGAGATATGAAAATACCTAAGAATCGTGTGCTATGTATGTAAATGCCATTTTTAATCTTTCCAATAGTATTGTACTCAGGAAAGTTTTCTTATAATTTTGCTTCAGCTCTGGCTTGAATTGAGCGAAGCAGTTCAGTCTGGTCTTGTGCTAGGATTTGCTAAAAGCTCACTTCCTTTTTGGATGCCCATCTTTAAGAGTAAGTTCGACTACCTTCACAAAATTTTAAAGTGACTTTTTAACGAGTTTTTAGTGTCTATTCTATTTTTTTAATTGAAGTATTTTTCTGTTCAGGTGGTGTCATGACATTGGTCGGGAACAAGTTGCTAACATGCTACTTCTAAATATTAATTTTTAGGTGTGGCTTGAATTGATTAATTATTATTCTCATATTCTTTGAACTTATAATAGTTTTAGAAAATTTTCATGTAGGTCATGATGCATTTTTTTGT